ATCTCTCCCAGTTTTTCTTTTCTATCATCTTTAATCTGCTACCCCTTGGAACAAGAGGGCTGCTTGAGCTCCAATTCCCACTTCATACTCCCACTGTTAAGGAGACTAAGTAGGCAAGACACATTGCTTTCTCAATCTAAGGGCTTCCCCTGCAAGCTGATCATAGCATTTCCATGTGTGTAGAAATTCTCATTGGCCAGAATTTAAATTGCACCACTGGCTCTAGGTGTACTGGAAAGTGTAGTCTTTGCTTTAGACCGCCATGTGCCTGGTAAAGAGCCAGTGCCAGAAAAGAGAGAGAGAATGTCTGTGTCCCCACAGAGCAATGTCTACCTCTAACCAGAGCACATTCAATCTTCCGACCATCCAATCCCACAAGTCAGTTGTGATGATCCTCATGTTATAGCTGAGAAAAGTGTCTCTCTGAAAGGCTGACTTGTCCAAGAGGTTAGCTTCTCCAAGATGGGAGGAGCCACCAATAGGAGATGTGGGAACATGGGGAGTACACCTGGAGTACACCTGACCCCAGCGGCTGTGTGACTCTACCCCTGCCCCTAGGCACATGATGCAGAAATTAGATGGTACCTTCATTCCCAAATTGGCCCCATGTGTGATTTTTCAGTACTTGTTTTTCCTGGCTAAGATGTAGATGTGTCCTTTATACTTAAGTTCAGTGGAGAAAGGTAATGCCTTGCATATCAGTGTGGCTAAGGAACCATGGAAGAAAGAAACATAACATAATGGAATGGCCAGCAAAGACCACAGATTTGGTGTCTCCAGATAACTGCGGCCTAGCTCAGGGCCAGCTGCACTGAAGCAGCTCAGAGGACATGCTGCCTCTTTGGGGAGGACACACAGGCCTGGAAGCTTTTTCTAGCCACCACCCAGTTGTCCTTGACATGCCTAAGGCACATTTGTCAACTCTGCTTCTGTGATGTTTGGCTTTGATCTGGACTAGCTTCTTCTGACTCCTCATGCCTGGCTGGACCTGGCCCCTGGCCCTGGCCTCGCCCTGGTCACTGAATGTCCTGCCTCTAGAGACCTGTGTTTGAGGAACCTGTGGTCCTAGTGAACTGTTGCCAGGACCAGAGGAAAGCTCAAGTGAGAAGCTAATTAAAGCTGGGCCTTTTCCGAGCTATGCTTTCCTGTACCACTCACTTCTCCACGGCTGTCTGCTCTGTGCTCCATCAGTCATTTGCCTCCACTGGAGCCATGACTGACCTGGGAGGCAATGGTCCTCACAGAACAAGTCTATGGGAAGCTAGCTTTGTGTCTACACACACACACACACACACACACACTCTCTCTCTCTCTCTCTCTCTCTCTCTCACACACACACACACACACACACACACAAACACACACACACTCGTTTCTAAATCATTTTCTTTTTCTTCTCTTTTACACTACCATCTGTCCTTCCATTCCTTCTTTTTCATTCTCCTTCCTTCCTTCCTTCCTTCCTTCCTTCCTTCCTTCCTTCCTTCCTTGTCTTTCTTCCTTTCTCTCCTTCCCCTTTACTCTCCTTTCTCTCCTCTTTTCTCTGAGAAAACCCAAGAAAGGAAAGTTTTCCACCACTGAGCCCCAGCCCCAGCCCTGACACTCTTTGTTTGTTTCTCATGCTTGCTTTCCTGTAGCATGCCTGTGCATCTTTCTGCAGGGGGCAGACTTGGCTGTGCACAGCTTGGCGTGGAATCCAGTGTCCACATGATGCCTGGCAGGGGTTTTTCACCTGGTTTTGGGAAGAGCACATGCTTAAAAAGGCTTCCTGGAGGGGAAGGCTTCGGGACTGCCTAATGCAGAGGTAGAGACAGGCTAGACTGTCTGGAGACACCTGACTCCTTTGGCTGTTTACAGATCTTTTCCCATGTTTAGGAGTCATCATCACCTTCTTCAAAGAAATAGCAGTTCCTTCAAGGTGGGCAAAGACACTCCTCAGTGGGCTCTGGTCCTCTCTCTAGCTAGTGGTACAGTCAGTGGTTGATTTGCCCAGAGAAATGAATTTCTCTTTGGAGAAATTTTAGATTTCTGTGAGAAAGAATATTCTTTCACACACACCCTTTTTAATTATAATTTGGGATTTGCATTATTTTTCCTTTATACTATTTTAATTGAAATAGAGTTACATTACTTTCCTGGCTATCCTCACTCGAGCCTCCACCCCCTCAAGTTGATAGCCTCTTTTCTTTGAATATTGTTGTATATGTATGTGTATACATACATACAAGTGTCTGAGTTTGCTTCTGTTGTTGATGTGTATATGGTTTCAAGGCTGAGCACTCTGTATTGGGCAACATTAAGGGGATTTGTCCCTGGGAGAGGTTAATTCTCCCTCTCCCGATAGTCCTTAGTTGCCTATAGTTCTTTTTGAAGGGACTGAGAATGCATAAAATTTTGCCCTTCCATGTTAAACATGGATATTGCCACTTTTCCAGTCTTGTTTATATAGCCATTGCTAAAAGAAAGACTGTTTCAGAGCAGACTTCATGGTACTCTGGCTCTTAAAATCTTCCTGCTTCCTTTTCTCCCATGTTCCCTGAGCCAGAGATGCAGGAGCTGTGTTGTAGATGTATCCATTGGCATGAGCTTCTCACAGCCTGTTGGTCTCTGCATTGCAGGTTTTTTTGCAATGGATTCCATTTGCTGTAGAGGCTTCTTGTATGAGGGTCAGTAGCTACGTTTGCCCAAGAAAGGTGGCTTTGCACCCATTTCTGGCCCTTTGTAGGAAAAACTGTCTTGACTATGAGGTAGTTTGAATGTAATTGGCTCCCATAGGCTCACAGGGTGTGGCATTATTAGGAGGTGTGGCCTTGGAGTAGGTGTGGCATTGTTGGAGGAAGTATCTCTCCTGTCTGTAGAACAAGATGTAGAACTCTTAGCTCCTTCTCCAGCACCACATCTGCCTGCACACCACCATGATAATGGACTAAACCTCTGAAACTGTAAGCCAATCCCAATTAAATGTTTTCCTTGATAAGAGTTGCCATGGTCATGGTGTCTCTTCACAGCAGTAGAAACCTAAACTAGGACCACTTGGAACATCTATCTACTTCACAGACTCCTAGAATACCTTTATCAGGTCCAACACGGAGAGCTCTGAGCCTGAAACCAGAAAGCCCCCCAAATTTCCCGTTCTCCTGCTTTGCCTTACCAGAGAAGGGTCTGCTTATAGGCTCTACTCAGACAACTAACGACTCTACTGGCTTTGTGCGAGTGAGTAGCTTGATCACCTCATCTTTGGAAGACCCAGGACACTCTTTTGCATGGTTTCCATTGGGATCGCAAACTCTGGGAAAGGTGTCTGTGATTGTCTAGAAGCCAGGAAACCTATGCTGTTCATGAGCGTGTTAAGAGAAACACAACCAGGCTAGTCTCCCTTCCTAGCTGAGGAAAGCCATACATGTGCCCAGCACCTACTGAATCTGGATTCTACATGGCTGATGCCACAAACCCCCAGTTCTGCAGATGCTCTGAAGAAGGCATGGCAGAAGAGTGAATGAGAGTGACTCTTTTTTCTGGATGAACGTATTCCTTCTCATTCCAAAATGACTAAAAAAAATTTTTTTAAGCTGAGTGTGGTGGTGAATACCTGTAATAATTCATTTGGAAGGCTGAGGCAGAGGAATCATGAGTTCAAGGCCAGCCTAGGCTATGTACTAAGACTCTGCCTAACTGAATAAATTAAAATAACAAAACAAAATGGGTATCCAACCTTTTGGGTTCTTTTAACCCAGTGAGCTGCTGCAATTATCTTCAGTACTTTTTCCCACTCAACAGTGGGAAATACAATATATTCTTCTTCAACGGTAAGATACATAAGACCTGGGCTTGGACTTAGAAGCCGGCAATATTACAATGGCTGTGCCATTATAATACTCTCATTATGACTGGGAATGCATGGCATCAGACATATAGAATCCAGATTCAGTAGGTGCTGGGTACATGTGTAGCTTTCCCCAGTTAGGAAGAGAAGCCTAGCTTGGTTCTTTTTCTCTTGGCACTCTCACAACTGCTGCAAGCCCATCTTTATCACCAGCAAATTAAGGCTCAGAGAAAGCAGGTGGCAGATTCCAAGAGGCAGAATAGGAATGTAGGTCTGAGGGCTGCTGGTACTCACTGTCTCCAGTTCCTTCATAGTGATGCTATCAAACAGTGCCCTGCCAGAAAAGTCATTCACCAGGCACCGGGGAGGACATGAAGAAAGTCTTTAAAATACTATGCAAGCAGCCAGGCGGTGGTGGCTCATGCCTTTAATCCTAGCACTCGGGAGGCAGAGGCAGGCAGATCTCTGTGAGTTCGAGACCAGCCTGGTCTACAAGAGCTAGTTCCAGGACAGCCTCCAAAGCCACAGAGAAACCCTGTCTTGAACCGCCCCCCCCCCAAAAGATACTATGCAGGTAACCGCAGACAGCAACTACTCCCCAGAGAACTGAGGAAACAACCAAAAGCATCGCAATGATCATGGCTTAGAGGATGGCCCTGCAGAGGTGAAACATGGACCTCTGAAGAACGAGTGGCTACTGTTTGTTGGAGCTGGTGTCCCGTGTTATGATAAATCTTTCTGCCAAAGCCGCTGGAGACCTACCATCACGTGTGCGCTTTACGCCAGCCGCCTGCCTGGTTAGGGCCCAAATTAATACACAGAAACTTGTATTAGGTTTAAATGCTGCTTGGCCAATGACTAGGATTCCTCATCTGTTAGCTCAGTCTTAATTATTATAAACATATATATTTTATTATTATAGATAAATATTATTATCTTATAGAGGATGCCTTTCACTGGCACCCTCTCTTGCCAGTGGCTCACATGGTGCCACTGGAGGAGGAAGGGGAAAAAGGGAACCCTTCCTGTTTCCTTTGCTTAAATATGAGTCTCCTTGCTATGTCACTTCCTGCCTGGATCACCACTTCTCTACTACATTTCCCAGAATCCTCTTTGACTCCTAGTCCCATCTAACTTGCTGTCTCATTGGCCAAACAGTATTTTATTTAACAATCAATAAGATAAACATACACAGAAGTACTTCCCCCATCATCCCCGGGCTCAAAAAGTACCCGGGTCTGGACTCCCAAGAAGCGTGGTGCAGGTGATGTAATACAGCAGGTCTAAGCTGGATTTGGCTTTGGGTATGGGAATGAGCTCCCCGCACCAGGTGATGTAATACTGCAGATCTAAGCTGGATTTGGCTTTGGGTATGGAATGAGCTCCCAGTGCAGAGGTGAGGAAGCATTGTGAGCACGATATCTACAGCAAAGGAAGTCAACAACTAGAAGGGGTCTGCTTCTTCCCTCAGCTGTGTGGCCACCCTCTAGTCCTTGTTGGCACAGCTGAACACAGTGCTAGCTGGCAAAACAGAGATATGGTATGCAGGCTCCTAATTTCAGTCTTATAAAACTGAACAGACAGGAGTAGCCATAAAGTTCAAAGCAGCTATGGAGTAGGAAGTCTAGGAAGCAGGATATAAAAATAAAACAATATAACACAGGTTCTGAGACATCTAACCTGTGGTGACCAGACTATAGGCACTATGAGTGAGAAATTAGTTCTTGAAAACACGTAAACCACTCACTACTGGGTTTGGGCACTGTTGGTGGACAAAGTCGCTTTTATGCCCTAAGTCTTCCTGTAGAGAGAGGAACCATTAAAGAGATGACTTGACTGTGATACACTGGGTAAGGCGCATGCATTTTTGCTGGCAGGTTTGTTGGAAGCTGTTCTCTTGCTCATTTACTGAGCCTCAGAAGGGTAGAGGATCAGAGGGACCATCCTATGTAGTTAGGGATGGGTAGAGTGGGCTAAGGGATGACAATACAGGTCAGCCCAGGTGGGGATCTTCCAGCTCAGTGTTATTGAAGATAGTTGCTGTGCTATGCTGTTCTCCATAGGGCGTGATGTTGGGCCTGCCTATGGCACTAGAACCACCTTTTCCTCTCTGGTTCCTGCGTCCCTTCTGGGCCTACTGTGACTAATGCTTGGAAGGTGTGTGCACTCAGAGTCTCGGCACAGATTCTTCCACAGCTAGAACACTTGCTCAGAGTAGACAAAAGTCTGGGCCCTGATGTCTGCAGTAGCCATCATGGATGCTCTCTGGGTTGCAAGGAATAAGGCACATCAATTCTTCTGAGCCCTGGAAGGTGGCTTAGTGGTCTCAGGGACTTGGGTTTACAGACACAGAGACTGAGGCTTAGAGCTGAAGAGAAACCATCTTCCCCCAACTGGTTGGCTGGGCACAGAATCTTGTACATCCACACTGGCTCCTTGCCCCTCCTTCCTGTATGTGTCAGGGCCATTCCTTGACTCAGGGCACATGGCTTTTGTGTACTGTCAAGGAACCAATTGAGTTAAATTGCATACCTGCTTTGGAAAACATTTAGGTATTCTAGATTAGTTTCTTCTTCATTTAGAATAACATATAACAACATAATATAGTATAGTAATACAGCAGTAGTGGATTTTAAATGTTCAACAGTGCACGCATATATATAAATATATATTTATAATATATAATAATATAAACATACAAAATAGAAAACCTTTGAAAGCCAGCTTTCCTGGTTAATGTTTCCAATAAGTTGTTAGTAAAAAGTGACCTAGTAAGGGTTTTTCTTTAGTACTCAGCATAGATCAACAGTGAACTGACACTCAGTCATTCCCATGTCTTTAATCAGTGATTCTAACAGTCTCATGACACCTGGCATTGAAGCAAGCAGAAGTGATTGGCAGCAGGGTGAGGTCATCGGAAGTCTCCCAAGGCCTTGAGAACAGCTGGTCAGCATCACATTGGCAGTCTTATACCCACCCAGTACTCAGGAACCTCCTCAGCAGTCTCCTGACCTTGCCCAGATGAACACTGAGAGTGTGAGGCTCACAGCAGCTCATGGAGAAGTCCTGCACGATCAGGAAATCTCCTCTTGCTTAAGAAAGTTCCAAAATTTGAACCAGAATACACACACACACACACACACACAAATAGTTTGGATATATATCCAAAATATATATAGTTTGTTTGTTGTTTTTTGTGAGACCAGGCTGGCCTTGAACTAGCTAGGTAGCTGAGGCTGTCCTTAAATTTTTTATCTGCTTACCTCTACCACCATCCCTGGTGCTGGATGACATTGTGAGCCACCACATACCTTTTATGCATCAATGAAGACCGAATCCATGCAAACTTCATGCAAACACTCACCAACTGAGCCACATCTCCAGCCCAAGGGGGTAAAATGTTCATCTAAGAGTTTTAAATTATTAAAAAGTGACATATAAGCCTCACAAAGTAAGAAAAGAGTAACCGTTCAAAGTCAATGTAAGATAAGGTGACACTGGCAAAATGAGAAGAGCTTCTTATGCCCCCTGTGCTCTTACCTTCCCTTGGTGGTCTTCAGAGCTTCCCACCCATGAGAACAAGTACATATGTGGCTAACTCATGGTTTGTGGAATGGGGAGGCTACAAGTTTTCTTCTCATCACAAAAGCAATAAAACCTGGCTGTTAACATCTCAGAGTACTGAAAACATCATAAAGGGAACAAATCAATTATTATTTTGTTATTTTGTTTTGTAGATCATGTATTTTTCTTTGTAGATCATGTAGAATATACTATTTTCTACACAAAATATTACTTATCAATACCCTTTGGAAATCCTGCATTTTATTCTGTGTTAGGGAAGTCTCATAGTTTTCTTCATTATTTTCATTACTGCCTACCTCATCTTTGTTTTAAATACCTCTCTCTCTCTCTCTCTCTCTCTCTCTCTCTCTCTCTCTCTCTCTCTCTCTCTCTCTCTCTCTCTCTCTGTGTGTGTGTGTGTGTGTGTGTGCTCGCGAACATGCACAAACAGGAGTTCATGTGCCCCAAGAGGCCAGAAGAGGACTTTGGACCACTGAAGGTGAAGTTACCTGCCACAGTGTAGATGCTGGGAACCGACCTTGGGTCCTCCCGAGATCAGCAAGTGCTGCTATCAGCTGAGTGCCTCTGCAGTGTTCCCTTTTTTTATTTTTAAGAAAAGAATAAAGAACTCCGACATGAACAGCTTTTCCTCTGTGAGGAAAGGTTCCAACAATCGAGACTTTTAAATGAATGCACATTTCTAACTCTCCACTTAGAGTCTTTCTCCGGAGTTCCAGCATTAAAGGTGTGTGCCACCAACACCCAGCCCAATATACAGTTTTTAAAATGGAAAATTTAAATGAATTTTAAAAATGTGTCCTCTGTTTATCTATTAGGAACTGAAGACTTAATGACCTAAAAGCCTCTTCAATGTAAAGATCATTACAAACAATAGAACCAGGCTGGCCAAATAGATCAATGAGTAGAGGCCTTACTAGCAAGCCAGTTAACCTGAGCTGGATCCCTGGGACCCACTGGAAGGAGAGAACCAACTACTGTGAGTTGTCCTCTGACCTCCTCACATGCACGGTGCCACATGTACCCATATAGACCCAAGATTTAAAAAGTAAAACTTTTACAAACAATAGAGCATATACTGGGAAGATGGAGAATTTATAAACACACTGACAAGAAATTACAGTCAAAGTAACTTCTATATCCACTAATTTGCTTGCCTGGGAAGTGTATATTCAAGGATTGAATCTAAAAAGAACTTATCACACTGAGTTTGAACCCCACCTGGATGGAGGCTTAACTACATGACAGGGTGGTAGACTGGCCCACAACTGTTTATACACATACTAGCACACTTTTGTAGGTACTGTAAAGTTTTCCTGCCTCATCTGAAAATCAATAATGAATCAAAGATATCAAACATGTACACTTTAATCTTCTGAAACTCTTAGAGTAATGCTATGACATAATTCTAGATATTGGTTAAAGATAAAAAGCTTTGGAATGTGAAGTCATATTGGAAACCAGGTACCAGGTATCAGCATTTCACTCCAAGAGTTTCTATTCCAGGTCTTGTGTTCCTCATTTGCAAAAGAAGGCTTGGATGAGAAAGTTACCTACTGAGTAATTCATACACAATAGATACTGGCTGGTTAATTTTCTTCTAAAATTGCTTTGATTCTGTGATTTGAAATGCCCATTATATGGAAGAGAAAATAAAGTGGTTCAGAAAGTAAGGAAAGAAAGGAAAGTAACTATGGCTCAAGTATTTGATATGAAATATCAAATTTGCTTACAAAGAAGAATTTCAGAATAAAGTTTTCCTTTGGACTTTCTTCCCAAAGAAAAACTTCAATAACTCCCCAAAGGAGGAGGACACTTAATTCAGACAGTGAAATCCTTATTTGTAAGAAGCAAAAGCAACCCAAATTCTTAACCACAGAAGACTGGGTGCCACTCTGAACTCACTTTAACATGGAGAATGCCACACAGCCCAGCCCAAGATGGCTGACTTATTGTCCATGCCACTGTGTGGAAATGTACATAGAAAGTGGTAGCAAGGGAGGAGCAGACACAGAACCACACACAGATGACAACCACAGAGAAGCACAGGAACAAGAATTTTCAAAGGTGGGAAAAGGACTCCTAGTCGGGGAAACAAGGAGATGTGCATACTTATTAACCTCATTTTCCTCAAATAAAATCCCCAGCTGTGCCTCTCCAGGAAAATAAAAAAAATTCCCATGAGTTCGAAGCTTTGTCCTAACTCAGGATGGTGTCAAATGTGAGTGGTTACATAAATAGATCGAGGGTCTCTACAGGAGACATCTTCAGTCCAGGCTTGCCCATGCTTGGCTCTTCCTCTGACTAAATAATGATTAATAGGCTGTAGAAATAGCATGCCAGGTACCTGTATTTGGTTATGGATAAATTATTTATAGTTGCCTGAAGCCAGTGTGGCTGTCTGGTACTTCTATGGCATTATCTTACAAAAAACAATATATATTAGAAAGATTATATATATGAAGGCATTTATTAAGATTCTGATGGGTGTTGCCATTACCAGCTTCCATAAGGTAAAAGAAAGAAACTACTGTGCAAGTAGCCTAGAAAAAAGGCAGAAAACAAAGCTCTTTGCAAGATGAATTTCTGAACTTTGTGAGAGGAATCTTCATACAAACCACAAAATGTTGGCTTTTGACTAAGGTCCCAAAAGAAAAAGTCAGTTTCCTGTTTGCTTGGGGTTGTATTTTAATTTCTTTTTGGTCGTGGTTAGATATTTTTCAAGAACATATGGAAAAGGTCTTGGCAGGCTCCCTTGTCCCCACAGCATTGCAAAAGAAGTGTGCAAATGGAAATGAGACGGACACCACTTCATGACATGACAGAGGCCTCTCAGTGCCAACAGCTTCTCTGGGGGTAATTTACAGGGTACAACTCTAGAACTAGGAAAACAATGCTAAGGGACATTTTACAAAGCCAAGGGCCGAAAGCAAAGACCCGAGACAGCATCACACACACACACACACACAACACACACACACACACACACACACACACACACACACACACACACACACAGTTACTTAAGATTAAATCTGACCAGGCTACTTACAGTGGTAGAGATAATAGCCCTAAGTTTTACAGTACACATCAATAGTTGCACTTAGCACTTTAAAGGGATCCTCTTATTTAACTCTAACAATGTTAGATGCTTAGAAAAATAAGGCATTGTTTAAAATCCCTAGCTAGCAGGCACTCTTACATTTTACACAACTCTGTCCATAGCCTAGAGCTGCGAGAATGTATTGTTTAACACTGATATTGTAATGATGGATGTTGGTTAAACGGATTGTGTTTTTTTTTTTTACCGCATAACCTATGCGTTCATCACGTAAGTTTACTTTATGAATAGTAAATGAGCATCCCATGAAATAATGAAACAGTAATATGATTTTACACTCAGTAAATATTTCACTACATGTCCTCTAGTAGAAATCCTGCCAGCATTTTATGCACAAGTAATTAAAGGTTTTGTAAATAATGTATTATTTACCTTCTTAGCCTTCTGTAACTGATAAAACCATAGGTAGAGTGGGCAAGAATGAAAGAGAGAGAACATGAATCATGAATATCAAGAACTAAAGTTGCAATGCAGTCAAGTCTATGGCCACACAAACGTTTTAGAGGGTTTTTTTTTTTTTCAAAATAAATTTACAAACTTATAGTACAATTTTTTTAAACTGACACAAGATAAAATGGAAAATACAAATAGCCATATGTCTATTAAAGGAATTAAATTTGGGGATAGTGAGGTGTCTCAACAGGTGAAGGTAGGTACTTGATGGCAAGCTGGATGCCCTGAGTTCAGTCCCTGCACCTCACATGGTAGTAGAGCAGAACTGACTCCCAGTTTCCCTCTGACCTCCACATGGGCACTATGACAATCACCAAGAAAAATAGAGAGGGAAGGAGGGAGTGTGAGAGAGAGAGAGAAATTGAATTTGCATTTAATTTTTTTTCTACAAAGGAAACTCCGGGTCCAAATAATTTGCTGATGGATTCTATCAAATATTTATTATAATTGAATCAAGGAATGAACAATGCCAACCTTAGATAAATTCTTTCCAAACATTTATTTTAGGAAGTCAACATATTTTAATTAAAAAGAATCAGAAACAGAATGGACATGGAGGCACACACCATTAATTTTAGCACTTTGGAGGCAGAGGCAAGCAGAACTCTGAGTTTGAGGATGGACTAGTCTATATAATGAGTTTCAGGCCAGCCAGAAATGTATATTGAAACTCTATCTCAAACAAAGGCACAAACAAAAATATGAGGGGGCCACTAGTATCTTTTATAAACTTAGGGGTCAGAGGGAATCTGAGGCAAGGTTTTGCTACATAGTTTAAGCTGACCTCAAACTTCTGACCCTCTAGACTCAGTCCAGAGTGTTGGAATTGCAAGCATGTACTACTATGCCCAACGGTCATAAACATTCTTAACAGCATACTGGCAAAAGTTAACTCAGCAATGCATAAAAAAAGCATCCACTGTGGTCAAGTTGAGTTAATCTCAGGAACTCAAAATGGTTTTAACCATAAAAAGTCAACACAGGAGCTGGAAAGATAGATGGCTTACTTGTTGTTCCTGTAGAGGACTGGAGTTGGGTTCTCAGCACCCATTCTAGGCAGCTGACAGTTGCTTGTAACTCCAGCTCCAGGGGATCTGATGCCTTCTTGTGACCTCCAAGGGTACCTACATTCATGTATACACATGACACATATATAAACAAAAATAAACCTTTAGAAAATCAATATAAGTCACTGTATTAAACAGAGTAAATGAGAACAATCACCAATACACGCAGACAAAAACATCTTGCGAATATGTCACACTCATTCATGAACAGCAACAAAGAGAAACTCTGAAGTTTAGTGCTAGAAGGGAATCTATTAAACCCCAAAAGACACAAACAGAATAACCTGCAAGTCTGTTATACTACAGACAGAATCCCAAGGCCTTGTTCCCCACATCACCAACAAGGCAAGAATACTTGGTCTTAAAAATGAATGTGTGTTAGTAGAGGCTGAAGACAGCACAATAAGACATGGAAAGAAAGAAAATACCTCAGAATCAGAAAACAAAAAGTAAAGTATCATCAGATACACAGATGATTTGAATGTTTGCAATCAAATCCCCGGGAAGGATGGTTGGAAGTTTAAGGCCAGCCTTGGTCACAGAGCAAAGTCAACCTAGGCTACATGAGATAGTGTCTCAAAACACCAAAATGACCAAATAAATAAATAAATAAATAAATAAATAAATAAATAAATAAATGTGTTAACTCATAGTTAGATTTTTCACTGGGACCATTGACTCCTCAATAAATGACACGGAGACTTATTACTAGTTATGAAAGCTCAGCAGACAGCTTGGGCTTGTCTCTAACTAGATCATATAACTTAAATTAACCCATTTCTATTAATTTACTTTCTGCCTCATGGCTTTATTACCTCATCTCCATAGTGTGCATTCTGCTTGCTCTGCATCTCCTGGCATCTCTCTCTTCTCCTTCCCAGCATCCTCTCTGCCCGAAAATTCTGCCTAGCTATTGGTCATTCAGATTTTTATTAAACCAATCAGAGTGACACATCTTCACAATGTACAAAAAGGTTATTCCACAACAATAACATTTAAGAACTTTCAAAACTGTAACGTGTGTGTGTGTGTGTGTGTGTGTGTGTGTGTGTGTGTGTGTATGCGCAAGTGTGCGCGCTTTGGACTGTGCAGGAATTTGTGGAGATCAGAGGCTGACAGTCTTGATGTTTTCCTTAATCACTTCTCTGCCTTAGGGTTTTTGAGACAGGGTCTCTTGTTGAGCCTGGGGCTTGCCATTTCAGAGAAGCTGGCAAGCAAGCCAGCAATTTCCAAGGATCTGCCTGTCACAGTCCCTGATGTTCTGGGATTACAGATATGTATTTTTTACTTAAGTGCTGGGAATCCAAATTCAGGTCCTTTTATTTGTACAGCAACCACTTTACCTAGTGAGCCAACTCCAACAGATTGGTATACTGTGTATGCTGTGTGTTTTGTATGTACATTATACTTACAGGGATGAATGCTGCTCTTGCCTTTATGCTTAATTTTTGACTGATTAGAAATAAGTAATGAGGCAAGTTGTGTAGAAACTACATGATGAATAAACTCTGCAGCACTGCTGTGATGTTCAGTGTGGCAATTCTTTTAGCACCGAATTGCTTTGGTTTGATTAAAAGCCATGTATAATTCTCATTACCCCCAAATGAAGTCATTCTCCTTACAAAGTGAAAATGCTTTAAGATAAAAAGTGATAACATTTGTGAAGCGCTTTACCAGCTGGGAGACATAAATGGCTATTAATTAGGGAAGTCATTGTTTGACACCTTCTTTACTCTTCTCCATTTAGATCTTTAAATTCATTGCTTTCTAATTATATAATTTATAGGAGAGTGTGCAATTTAGCTTTTTTTTCTGCTAAAATATCCAATGTGGTTTGAAAGGCAGAAGAGACCTGATGGACTAATAGGTCACATTATCTTTTTACAAATACAAGATCTGTGTGAAACTAATCATGTTTGAAGGGATACCCCATAGCACATTGCAAATTAATTTTTCCTAACCTTTGCTCCCTTCTTCCTGATGGGCAAGACCATCAAAGAGACATCACAGCATCATAATGTCTTCTGACAGGTCTGTTCCTCATAAAAATACTCACCCTGTCCATCCTGGCAGTGAAGAGCCTTTCCATGAATTTCATCTGTCCGTGTAATTTTGCACTGATTCTAATGAGGACAAATGCTGGGCTTTCCATGGAAAATGAATGGAGTGAAAACAAAAGACTCTAGGGAAAGAGGTAGAGAGTTTAAATAAATCAGGATCCCAAGGATAGGTAAAGGAAAGCTGTGGTTTTTCTTCCTTGTCCCCTCTAGAGTAAGTAAGATGCTTGTATGCGTCCAGTGGGATCCAATGGGCCCCTGCCTCTACTCCCTTAGCCAGCAGGAACCTACTGTATGGGTATGTGTACTAATGAGGGGGAAGGAGAATGTAAACTCAGAATGCTCAAATTGTTGTTTATACTAAGTCCTCATCCAATATTGTCTGCGCATTTTCTCTGAGCAGGTGGGAAACTGACAACCACAAAGAGGGAGAAGCACAAGGTGGACTTCTTCCCCTAGGAATTTGCACTCTGAGAGCTTGGACAGAGTACACACATGGCCTCCAGTCTGACAGTTTGGGTACCTGGATATCTCACTTGACAAATGTCTCCTCACAGAAAATAATGTTGGGACAAAGTTAATTGAGCTGCTGTGACTCTAGGTTATGGTATTCTTTCCACAAAGTAGTTCATTCTATTAATATTAAAATAAAGCTTTGAACACAGATTGATCCAAGGGAGGTCAATAACAGACTCTGGAACTGGGACGAGTATCACCTTCTCTAGTCAATCCTCGACTCCCAGGATTTCACTGTTGCTGCATCTGGAGACTTGGGAAGATTTGGGTTCAGGATCCTGCTTCTTCAGGAATCCTTCCTGGTAGGCATTAGGTACTACATTATATTACCAGCGGAGACACATGTCACTGCTGCCTCCTTTTAGTCGGGGCAAAGATTACTTGGTGGGTTCTGCCCATAGCTTTTAAAAGCATGTTTCTAATTTATCCACTTCTGAGGGCTACAGTGAAGTCAGAACGCTGACCTAAGTGAAGATTCTGTTCCTGGAAAGGCAACATGGAAACATTCTACCCATTGAGATTCCAGAGACAGTTTGCTAGGAAGTTTTTAGGAAACTCTTCTTTGCCTTCACGGTGGCATACAGAGAGGATATTATCTCCTGAACTTGGGGTGTTGTTGCCTGAAGGTGCAATGTTTGAGCTGCTGCAACCATCATACATGCATTAGGAGACACACTATAAACAAAGGCCAAAGTTCAGAGGAGAACAGTCGAAGATGGGAAGGATGGTGGGCGCTCAATGATGTCATTAAGCCGCTTAGGATCCATGCCTACCTGTGGGATGACCCACTGCTGTACTTCTATGGTTCTCACTCGATTTTCATGACACTGTGCATGTGGGCAATGTTCGTTAGGACGTTATTTGCAGGTCGGGCTGATGAGGGAGTTTGGGGGCGGCTCACAGTATGTAATGATGACACAGAAAATGAAAGTCGATAACTCAGCACGGCACAGACTCCAGAATTATGTAACATTCTCAACAAAACACCTTGAACATGTTAATGAGGTCCTGGTCTTGTTTTTGTGAACTTAGTAGAGACGCCGTTGGCAGACATTTCTGCACATAGGGCTGCATGATGTTGCAGGTCGAAACTGTAATGGCAACCTCTTCAAATTTGTGATGTGACTTTTGGCAAGACACTTTGCAGTGAATGAAGAGTAAAACCTTAAGAACCTGTTTAAAAACTATTTTTTAAAATTACAATTGAAATTATATTTGACAAGTATAATAACTCGTTTTCACTCATCATCAATTCAATGCTGAAATTTCTTGTTCATGAAAATAGAATGTTCATTTAGTGTAATTTTCATATAAAATCATTCAAAACAATGAAAAGCTCTAAAATGTATTTGCACTGGTAGTGTCGGGACCTGGCGGTTAGCTTAGATGCCACTAAATGGTAATGTCAACTACAAATGGAGGCAAGTGTCTAGCATATATGAAGACAAATGTCAGCATCACCATCTGGGCTATGCTTGCTTGCCTCAATCCTTCCTAAATCTTGTATTCTATACTATCGTCTTTGACTATCTAGAACAGGACCATTTCCAGCACTTTCTCTGGGGAAGTCCATGTTCAGTGGTAGAATACCACCTTGGTTGCACTTGATGTGTCTCGCTAGAAGCCACAGGTCACCTCTGCTCCTGCCACCTAGTCAGAATCCCTAAGAAGGCTGCCAATAGAAGGAGGCAGCCTGCCCAAGGATTACAGCAGGCTACTGAAGCCAAGAGGATGCCATAGTAGACTCAAGCCTTTCCTCGATGAATTTTTTGATGCTATAGATGTGACATAAATTATCTCAATTATAAATTCCTCAATTGTGTTTTTTTATAAACACACAGTATTCCATTCTTAATCCATAGGACATTTAAATTTCAGATAATGACAAGAAATGAAGATTATATTGTCTGTTAAAAAAAAAAACAAAGGAATTCAGGGATGGGGAGATGGCTCACAAGCATGAGGACCTGAGTTCAAATCCCCAGCATGCCCATGTGCATCTATTACCCCACCCACTGTGGGGGCTAGAGGTAGGAAGATTGCATGGGGCTTGGTGGTTGCCAGCAAAGTTCAAGGTTCAGTAACTGACAGACGTTGACAGACATTGTCTCAGGGGAATACAGTGAAGAATGAGAGCAGGCTACCCACTCCTTCCTCTGACCTATACAGGTGTGTACAAGCACTCTTACTAGGTGCCCCCCACACACACAGATGGGGGGGAAGAATCCTAATGTAACAGATGCCCTTGGTATCTGTCTCCTTCCCTCAGCCCAGATCTGACAGAGCTGCACAGGTGGGGCTGCTTCCTGGAGAGTTAAGTCTTAGGTGGTGCTAAAGATGAGTTGTAAGAATGGTCTGAGAGAGATATTCCAAATGGACACAGCCTGGAGAGTATGAGCCCCCTTCCCTCCCTTACACGTGGGAGGCAACTAGAAGAATTTAAAACCCTCACCTGCTCAAGAGGACAACTCAGGGAAAGTTTCCTCTACAATTTCCCAAGTTTGTAGCACCAACAGCCCACTGCCTTTAGCAGTGGCCTTGGCCTTGACTGCACAGCCCCATTTTTTTCTCTGCCATTTCCTCTCATTCTCAATACCAACTCCTACTTCCTGAGATTACCTCCCAATTAAACCCCCTGGACCTGAGACCTTGTCCCAGCCTCTAATGAAGAATGCATACTAAGAAAATTAATGTTCAAATTATTTTTATGTTGCAGTCTTACCGAGTCTAGGAAGTGGACTTACATGCATCTGCCAAAAATAAAAAATAAGCTCTTGTTGGCTGATACTTATTTATTAAAAAAGAAGAAGAAGAAGAAGAAGACAGCATTATCTGGATAGGCAGCAGTAATGCAGGCTTCCCGCTGTGCCTCTGATGACAGCTTCAGCCCCGCATGATGTCTCATCAACAATGCAGGCATCCTGGAACACAGCGCCAACAGCGTTCCGAAAATACTTCGTAAATTGCCTGTTTGGAACTTGAAATGTATTTTCTGAGTGAAAATATTACATTACTCTATAGAAAATGTCCCAAATGGCAAAGTATAGCCCCATGCAGAGAATTATTCACTAGCATCCTGATTTTCAAGATAAAATAAAATAAAAAACCATGAAGGCCTGGGCTCCCAAAGATTCATCCCTTGCAGGTAGCTGGGCCTTGAGGCTCCTGGGTACAGGAAGGACAAAAGCCATTGTCAGGACAAATCAGTACATATCAATCATGGCCTGATACTACTGTGGGGAAATAGATCTGTAAATAACTATATTGGGTTAGACGGGGTTCCCGAAACCAAAGCTTGATCACTAAGAACCTTAGACCATGACCTTATCCAGAAAGAGGGATTTTACATAAGTAGGTGTGAATTAGGATGAGGTCATGCTGGCTTAGAGTGGACTCCAATTCCAATGAAGACAGACAGACACACACACACACACACACACACACACACACACAGAGAGAGAGAGAGAGAGAGAGAGAGAGAGAGAGAGAGAGAGAGAGAGAGAGAGAAACACGATGAAGACAGAAGTCAGAGTGGTGCAGCTACAAGCCGTGGAAACAGAAAGATTGCTAGGAGCTAACAGCCTGGCCAGAGACAAGGGAAGGATTCATACCCACAAACTGAAGGGTAGGCAGGGCCCAGCCAATGCTTGATTTTAGGTTCTAGCGCCTGGAACTACAAGGAGACAAATTTCTGTGGCGTTATGTTTCTGGTGGTTTCTTGTCCTGCCAGGCCCTGCCACTCTTCTCAGCCCCAAATAAACACACAAAGACTTACATTAATTACTAAACTGTTGGCCTATGGTTAGGGTTTCTTATTGGCTAGCTCTGTCTTAATTATTAACCCATAACTACTAATCTATGTATTTCTACATGGCCTTATCTTACCAGAGAATGCCTGGTGCATCCTATCCTCCTGGTCCCTCCATGGTGTCTCTGGTGGTCTCTCTCTGCCTACCTTTCCCAGAATTCTCCTTGTCTCCTAGCCCCACCTGTTTTCTTGCTTCTTGTTGGCCAGACAGTGTTTTATTCATCAACCAATAAGAGAAACATATATACAGAAGGACATCCCCCATCAGTATTAAGTCATCAACACCATGGGACAATTTCTTATGGCAGCCTAGGAAGCTCAGAAAAATTCTGGAAGCTAAGCTGGGGCTTTGGTTGGATCAAATAATAAATCATTCTCAAATATAAGGACCCTCTCCTATTTTCCTGTTTTCAGGGTTGCATAGTCAGTTCCTTGGTTCTGGAAGCTGTCAAGAGGCTGGATCAGAAGAGAATTCCTCATCTTACTTTGAAATGTAATATGATATGTTAAATAAGATCTAATGTAAGCCATATTGAAAACCAGGGATCCATTCTAAACACTTGTGGAAATGGGAATGATGCTGACATACTGAAAGCCTGGTGAGTGACTGACCTTGAGTTCCTGCCTTAACTTCCCTTGATGACGGACTGTGATGTGGAAGTGTAGGCCAAATAAAACTTTTTCTTCTGTGATACTTTGAATGTAATTGCCCCCACAAGCTCATAGGGAGTGGCATTATTAGGAGGTGTGGCTTGTTGGAGTAGGTGTAGCCTTGTTGAAAGAAGTGTGTCACTGTGTGGA